AACCTGCCGACATTTTGAATTATAGATCGAAGTTGTTTTGTCAACGAATATTAATTTGTTCTATTTACAGTCAAAAAGTTCACTTAAATGTGCATAGCGCAGAAGATTAATTACACGTGACATTATTTGTGTAATTTAGAACTTAGTGTTGATTTCGTGCAGATTGGATACTATAAAAAGAATACAGATCAAATACAGCTGACAATAGACGTTTTTCTTTACAGTTAACAAGTAGATATAGTCTGGAGTTAAAGTTTGTTACACATCAATTACTTTATCAAACCTTCATACATGTAAAATTTTATGAAACTTTGGAAGAAGTTTTTTTTATGATTGAGAGATAATGTCTGAAGCAAACTTTTGAAAATATATTTTTTTCATTTTCAGTATTTTTCTGATAGATGGACTTAGTTTTTTACAGTTAATATATACAGACAGTCTGGGGTTAGATTGTATTTGTAAATCGTCTTGGATTGTTATGAAACTTGGACAGAAGCTAAATCTTCAAGACAAAAAAATAGCATCTTAAGAGAATACTGTATTTTACTTATAAATGGACTCACTTTATAAACCACTGCCATCATAACACTTTTACACTGACAACAGAAATCGCACGCGAGACACAGCGCAGAACCCCTTACAAATTTTTAGTATTATAGTATGTTCGTTTGTAGAGGAAATTGTCATTTATGGAACAATATGCTACAGTATTTTATATTATTTTGATCAGTATGATAATAAATATGTTATGTATTATATTATCTTTTTATATCTATGATGCCACTTGAAATTCAAAACCATTGCATTAATTAAAACCAAATAATTATATCAATTTAATTTACCACCTTGAATCAGTTGAAGAATTAATTAAGTTCAATTTGTGATTTGTTACAAAGGCTACATAAACTCTTCCCTGTTGGACATATCTTTAAAGTAGCAACGAAAATAATAATGGTGGTCAAGTTTCTAATATAGACCAGCAATGGTGGGAAGGTTTTTATCAAAGTGTTGACGGACGACGGACAATTAGTGATTTAACTAGCTGACGTAAACCTTCAGGTCATGTGGGCTTAAAACTGCAATGCTCTTTGACTATATAGTGTGTTTTCTTTTGTGCAATTCAAATATATATTTCCATTATAGACAAACCTGCAACCTGCCGACATTTTGAATTATAGATCGAAGTTGTTTTGTCAACGAATATTAATTTGTTCTATTCCCAGTCAAAAAGTTCACTTAAATGTGCATAGCGCAGAAGATTTAATTACACGTGACATTATTTGTATATTTTAGAACTTAGTGTTGATTTCTTGCAGAGTGGATACTTTAAAAAGAGTATAAAGATCAAATACAGCTGACAATAGACGTTTTTCTTTACAGCTTACAAGTAGATATAGTCTGGGGTGAAAGTTTGTTACACATCAATTACTTTATCAAACCTTCATACATGTAAAATTTTATAAAACTTTGGAAGAAGTTTTTTTAAGATTTAGAGATAATGTCTAAAGCAAACTTTTGAAAATTATATTTCATTTTCAGTATTTTTCTGATAGATGGACTTAGTGTTTTACAGTTAACATAAACAGACAGTCTGGGGTTAGATTGTATTTGTAAATCGTCTTGGATTGTTATGAAACTTGGACAGAAGCTAAATCTTCAAGACAAAGAAAAAGTATCTTAAGAAAAAAGTGATTTTTGTTTAAATACTGTATTTTACTGATATTAAAATGGACTCACTTCATAAGCCACTGCCAACATAACACTTTTACACTGACAACAGAAATCGCACGCGAGACACAGGATTCCGCAGAACCCCTTACAAATTTTTGGTACTATAAAATTGAGAATGGAAATGGGGAATGTGTCAAAGAGACTACAACCCGACCATAGAACAGACAACAGCAGAAGGTCACCAACATTATGTTCGTTTGTAGAGGAAATTGTCATTTATGGAACAACATGCTACAGTATTTTATATTATTTTGATCAGTATGATAATAAATATGTTATGATTGTATTACATTATCATTTTATATCTATGATGCCACTTGAAATTCAAAACCATTGCATTAATTAAAACCAAATAATTATATCAATTTAATTTACCACCTTGAATCAGTTGAAGAATTAATTAAATTCAATTTGTGATTTGTTTTTCATATACATATTAATATCAGCTCAAAATATGTACAGGCAATGTTTACAAAGGCTACATAAACTCTTCCCTATTGTAAGATATACATAGGACATATCTTTAAAAGTAGCAACGAAAATAATAATGGTGGTTAAGTTTCTAATAGAGGCCAGGAGTGGTGGGATGGTTTTATCAAAGTGTTAACGGACAATTAGTTATTTAACTAGCTGACCTAAACCTTCAGGTCATGTTGGCTTAAAACTGCAATGCTCTTTGACTAGTTTGTTTTGTTTTGTGCAATTCAAATATATATTTCCATTATAGACAAACTTGCAACCTGCCGACATTTTGAATTATAGATCGAAGTTGTTTTGTCAACGAATATTAATTTGTTCTATTCACAGTCAAAAAGTTCACATAAATGTGCAGAAGATTTAATTACACGTGACATTATTTGTGTATTTTAGAACTAAGTGTTGATTTCTTGTAGAGTAGATATTTTAAAAAGAGTTCAAAGATCAAATTCAGCTGACAATAGACGCAAAGAGCCTTAATTTTGTTTGGTATGTCCTTGATTTGTCCATCCTATCGCAAACATGCTTTCAATCGCAAAATTAATCAAAATTTGATATTTTTAGGTAAGAACTGTGAAAATATTTTTTTAGCCTACAACTATTTTGACATTTGCATATTATTGTGCAAAATTTACAATTTATAAGTAAACCTACCATTACTGTTTATTCCTCCATGATATTCTATTTATATCAACCATACAAACAATGTTCAATAGTCTGTGACATTTGTATATATAGTTTATCACGTAAAATGTCTCTTTAAAGTTCAAGGAATAAATAACTGTCTACACCGTAGGATTAAATACAAACAAAATCAGGGTTTAAAAAAAAGAATATTAATTGTGATTAGGAAAAATAAAAAAAAAACTCATTCGAGAACTTGAGAACGACGGTGTTTCTTATTATTTTATATAGCTCTTCCCTATTTTTATATATACATGGGACACATCTTTGAAAGTATCAACGAAAATAATAATGTGGTCAAGTTTCTAATATAGACCAGCAATGGTGGGAAGGTTTTTATCAAAGTGTTAACGGACAACGGACAATTAGTGATTTAACTAGCTGACGTAAAGCTTCAGGTCATGTGGGCTTAAAACTGCAATATTCTTCGAATAGTTTGTTTTATTGTGTGCAATTCAAATATAAATTTCCATTATAGACAAACCTGCAACCTGCCGACATTTTGAATTATAGATCGAAATTGTTTTGTCAACGAATATTAATTTGTTCTATTCACAGTCAAAAAGTTCACTTAAATGTGCATAGCGCAGAAGATTTAATTACACGTGACATTATTTGTGTATTTTAGAACTTAGTGTTGATTTCTTGCAGAGTGGATACTTTAAAAAGAGTATAAAGATCAAATACAGTTGACAATAGACGTTTTTCCTTACAGTTAACAAGTAGATGTAGTCTGGGGTTAAAGTTTGTTACACATCAATTACTTTATCAAACCTTCATACATGTAAAATTTTATAAAACTTTGGAAGAACTTTTTTTTTTATGATTTAGAGATACTGTCTGAAGCAAACTTTTGAAAATATATTTTTTTCATTTTCAGTATTTTTCTGATAGATGGACTTAGTTTTTTACAGTAAATATATATAGACAGTCTGGGGTTAGATTGTATTTGTAAATCGTCTTGGATTGTTATGAAACTTGGACAGAAGCTAAATCTTCATGACAAAAAAATAGCATCTTACGAAAAAAATTTATGTTTTTTAAATACTGTATTTTACTGATAAATGGACTCACTTTATAAACCACTGCCATCATAACACTTTTACACTGACAACAGAAATCCCACGCGAGACACAGCGCAGAACCCCTTACAAATTTTTAGTATTATAGTATGTTCGTTTGTAGAGGAAATTGTCATTTATGGAACAACATGCTACAGTATTTTATATTATTTTGATCAGTATGATAATAAATATGTTATGTATTATATTATCTTTTTATATCTATGATGCCACTTGAAATTCAAAACCATTGCATTAATTAAAACCAAATAATTATATCAATTTAATTTACCACCTTAAATCAGTTGGAGAATTAATTAAATTCAATTTGTGATTTGTTTTTCATATACATATTAATATCAGCTCAAAATATGTACAGGCAATGTTTACAAAGGCTACATAAACTCTTCCCTATTGTAATATATACATAGGACATATCTTTAAAAGTAGCAACGAAAATAATAATGGTGGTCAAGTTTCTAATATAGACCAGCAATGGTGGGAAGGTTTTTATCAAAGTGTTGACGGACAATTAGTGATTTAACTAGCTGACCTAAACCTTCAGGTCATGTTGGCTTAAAACTGCAATGCTCTTTGACTATATAGTGTGTTTTGTTTTGTGCAATTCAAATATATATTTCCATTATAGACAAACTTGCAACCTGCCGACGTTTTGAATTATAGATCGAAGTTGTTTTGTCAACGAATATTAATTTGTTCTATTCACAGTCAAAAAGTTCACATAAATGTGCAGAAGATTTAATTACACGTGACATTATTTGTGTATTTTAGAACTAAGTGTTGATTTCTTGCAGAGTAGATATTTTAAAAAGAGTTCAAAGATCAAATTCAGCTGACAATAGACGCAAAGAGCGTTGTTTGGTATGTCCTTGATTTGTCTATCCTATCGCAAACATGCTTTCAATCGCAAAATTGATCAAAATTTGATATTTTTAGGTAAGAACTGTGAAATTTTTTTTTTAACCTACAACTATTTTGACATTTGCATATTATTGTGCAAAATTTACAATTTATAAGTAAACCTACCACTACTGTTTTTTCCTCCATGATATTCTATTTATATCAACCATACAAACAATGTGCAATAGTCTGTGACATTTGTTCAAGGAATTAATAACTGTCTACACCGTAGGATTAAATACAAACAAAATCAGGGTTTAAAAAAAAAAATATTAATTTTGATTAGGAAAAATTAAAAAAAAACTCATTCGAGAACTTGAGAACGACGGTGTTTCTTATTATTTTCTATAGCTGGTTATTTTTTTTTTCTTCTTTTCCGTAAATTTTCTTCTTTTGTATATTGCTTTCCAACTGGGACATAATATATTGTCTTAGTATAAAAGTCCCAGTTTTAAATAAACTAATTTTGGAGCATGGTTCATTTTGAAGTGTACGTGTATCTTAAAACGGCAAGTTTACTGAAAGAATGGCATTTTTTACATTTATTTGTTGTGTTACACAAAAACAAATTAGACAATTTCCTTTGACGACTTTTATAATACTCATTTCTTTGGTTTCTTTGGTTTCTTAATTTTTTCTTATATGCCCGCGACTTAAAGTGTTTTGGGTTGGGCATTTAATTTACCTTTGTCATTACGTGTACCTTTCCGTTCTACCACATTTAGGGTATACATTTGACAGTCGACCTTCTCTTAAATTTTAAAGATATTTTTATTTTGTGGAACTGATATAAAATATACTTAAGTCAGGCGCGTGGACAGGATTTTTTTCTTTAATATGATACGAAAATACCAGTTGTCGAATCAAATAATTTGTTGGAAATTTTCCTCATAATGTATACAAGGTTTGTCCGTCAAACTCCTTTACAGTTTAAAAGATGGAATATTTTCATTTTGTAGAACAGTTGTACATATATCTAAGATGTGCATGTGCACGGGACTTTTTAACAAAATTACCAGTTGTTGAACTTTTATCAACTTAGGGGAAATTTCCTATGTAGAGTTCAAGGCTTGTCCGTCCAAATAGTCCTACATTTAACAAGATAGTACCTCTTTGTTTAGAAGAACAGCTGAGCATATACAGGAGATGTGCACATGGACATGATTCTGATTTTCTTTAATGTTGGTGTAACTTTTTGTATTTGGTCCATCTTGCTCCTTGTACAGATTTCAACTTAGAGCCTTTGCATTTTGGTTTGGCGATATTTGGTCAGAACTTTTAATTGATAAATTCAACCTCAAACAATAATCAAAAGATATTTAGACACATGTAAAGATGTAAGTTTACCGGAGATATTATGGCAACATTGTACATAGCTATATATCCTAGATAGATAAATGATTATACAATGCACGGTGGGATTCAAGGGATCTTGTAGATTAAATTTGAAATGCACCGTGGGACACACAATGTAAATTTCCAAAAACCAACAATGTCATGGTTTAACGAGTATATTACAAAATGTATATAGTTAGGTATTAAAATAAACATTAACTGCAACAAATTCTGCCAATATCAAAGTTAATGATAAAATGCATAAATTCAATCAGATTTAAAACAGTCCAAAGGGTAACAACAAAATGCTCCGAATGATTATCTAAAGGTCCTCGTGGCTTATTAAGAACAAAATCTTCATCATTATCCATATCAATACTGCAACAGACAGGAACCTGAAAAGTACATTCAAAACCAGCAGTACCCATACATTTTTGTACAATAACAAGGGACTGGCGGGAGTGTTTGAAATTTGCAAACAAAAATGTTGACCAGCTTCTTGACAGCTTAATATAAAAGGAGGCACACGTCACAAAATGCTACGTATGTGTCGTTATCAATATTTAATAGATGAGGGTTAGCTAAAAAGGCAAGTAACAAAAATACAGAACTCAAAAACATAGTACATACCTAACAGAAATACGTCCCCTGCGATAACCGAAGGTCTTCATGTGGTTACATTATTGAATTCAACTGTTGTTTTTCATTTTTACTTATGTGATTTGTCCGTGTGACTTAATATGTTTCTTTGATACATATGATGTGTCTCTGTACTTTAAACATCCCGCCATTGTGTTATTGTTCTATTAATTATTTGTGCATACTTTAAACGACAAAAATATTTTATATCTCTACATGTGTGACGTTTACATTCCGACGTCAAACACGCGATTCTACGCCAGAGTTTATGTTAAAATTACGATTCGGTCCCAGTGCTTAAAATCCCTCGATCCTTTATGGGTTGATTTGGCATTAAAAAATAAATAACAAAAATAAGTAAGCAATGAACGAGTTTGTTAAATGTGATTTATGCTTTTTGTGCTTCTTTGTTAAATATTTGTTTTTTTTTTTTTTATTGTGATTAAGATTGTGACACGGTGTTGACTGCTGTACCCCTATTTTGACATTTTTACCTTTTATGTCTGTTTGTTTTATTCACGCATGTCAATATAATGGAATTTGATGCGACTGTCATACAAGTGAGAGGTTTAGCGCTATTAAACCAGGTTCAATCCACTATTTTCTACATACGAAAATGCCTGTAACAATATGACAGTTGTTGTCCATTCGTTTGATGTGTTTGGGCTTTTGATTTTGCCATTTGATTAGGGACTTTCCGTTTTGAATTTTCCTCGGAGTTCAGTATTTTTGTGATTTAACTTTTTTCAACTTTCACATAAATATAACAGTTTTTGAACGTGGTCAACGTTTTGGTAATTTCCTATTCAATGCACATGAGTACAAACTAAATCATCATGCTATTTAAATCAAATGCCCCAAAGTCTTTCACCACAGATCATTGAAAGAGAAAGATAAATTATAAAGGTTTGACAACAAATCGTCTAAGAAGCATGAGGGAAACAGATTTCACCACCAAATTTTGTGTAATACGATATTTCATCACTTTAAACTTGAATCTTAAAAATATTTAAACGGCTCGGCAAGCCTCGCGTTTTTTTATTTGAAAATTAAAGTGTCTCTAATTGATAAATTTCGTATCACACTTAAGACAGGGAAGAACGCAGACTCATATTTAAGTTATGAATGATTATGTTTTTAAATCTAATAGGAAAACAAGGATATGGGGTACATGTATCCATCCATGACACAAACTCAGTTCATGCACAGCAAAACACTCATAAAGTAAAGGAACAACGCTTTTATTGCTTTTCTTCATTTGATAAATTGGGATGCTGGAATCACAATTCATCAAATGATTGTTGCAAAAACTTCAGAATTATATATCTAATCAAATAATTTAGTAATTTTTTTAATACAAATGAAGGGATTGGCATGACTGCCAATGATGTGGCCATATTAAAACATAAGGACAAAGATGTGAACAAATTGCATGTCACCAATGAGCCAAAACCATACCATATAGTTACCTATAAAAGGCATCTGCATAACAAAATGTAAAACAGTTCAAAAGAGAGAAAAAACACGGTTTTATTAAAATGTACATATAAGCAATGACAGACATCTTTCAAACTTTAAGACCAGCACTGGATATTAGTCTGTTATGTGAAAAGTTAAATAACAAAAATACCGAAATCCAAAAAAAAATTCAAAACCGAAAGACCTTTATCAAATGGCAAAATCAAAAGCTCAAACACATCACACGAATGAAAACAACTGTCATATTCCTAACTTGGTGCAAGCATTTCCTTATGTAGAACTGGGTTTTTAGTAATTGTCATAACATTGCAAGTAGCTGAACGACAAGAAGCTCAATAGTTTGTTATTTCTGACTTTGACAACACATATATGGCAAAGTAGATCAATGAAGTCAAATAGAATTTTCTATTTTTAGTTCAAAAATTACAGTGGATTCAATTGAGATTACATTGTATACGTACTTTACATAATTTTACATACAACACGTTTGAAATGCATTTAAAGCATACCTATTCCAAACAACTTACTACTGTTCATATGTGTTCGTATGGTACATGGTACTTAATTATTTCAGACATTTTCATACTTACACAATCTTACAATGGAATCAATGGAATATTTGTACCACCAAAAACAACAAATGAAAGATTTCACGAAAACAACGAAAAAGAACTATTTCAATCAGTAAATAAATCATAAATTAAGAAGAAAACGACACGAGAGAAATTATAAGACAAAAGCATGGTCTTACATTTGTAATTTTAGATTTACGCGTTTCTTTTTATTAGAATCGAGGAAAGCATCATCGAAGAAAACCATCGTATCATGTTGTGGCAATCTTTTGATTGTTTTTTAGGAAGAGGCAGCGGTTACTTACAAATTGGTAGAACGGCAGTCAGTATCTTAAAAGGATAGTTACTCAAGATGTAAGATCGATAGAGACATTCACTCTATTCATCTGTACGATGGTTTCCTTAATGCTGTTCCTTTCTGTTAATCTTTATGATAAAGAGCCCTATGTTTAATACAAACTTTAATTTGAAACGAGTTTTGAATCTCATGGGAACAAATTTTGTTTTAAATGTAGTATTACATTTTTGCCACAAGGTTTATTTCAACGCAATCTATTCCAAATAGGGGGCTCGTATACAAAATTTTGAGGGCTAACATTCCCCTTTTCCACCTTTTATTATCACACTCATTTCTCATACAAAGAAGAATGTCACTTATATATTATAGGGTAAAACAATGTATAAAAATGTAAAGAGTTCAGATGTTCAAGGTGACAAGATAGACATAATTCATCAATCTGAGACAAATATAAAATGTAGAAGAATAACATTTTTCCAAGTCCGTTATATTTTATGACCACGCATATAAAATATACAATGTACTAAAGAATGAAGACTTATAAATGTACCAGAAAAAAAAATAGCAAATAAAAAATAACAAAAGATGGAGAAAGCAAAAACTATTGTAAAAACATTAAACATCCACGAGGCTGATCAACAGAACATCGGAATTATATATAAAAATGGTTGATAGATATAATACCCAAGAGTCGAAACTTCCAGACATGCATACATCAGGACCATTGATACACGTTTATTGCAAGAAAAGACTTGTAATTTGAGTTCAGTGTAGTGCTTTTTCAGTAGTTTGTTATACATAGTTTTATGATGCAACCAAAATCTGCAATAAATCTGTTTTAAACT